AAGCGATTTAAGGAACTCTATTTTAGAGGGAAGAGTGAGTCTTTAACCTTGAGGATCTTTGTTAGTCTTGGATCAGATGGTCAGTTTAATGCTGAGTTCAGGACGTTTACAGTTACAAAATACCAGTGCCAGACCCGAGCCAGGTCTATCATTTCATCTCATTACTCAGTTGTCACAAGGGATTTTTCCCTCTCTCTGTCCATTCTGTTAATGGCATCAACGGCCCTTCACCTTGGGAACGTGGAACTCAAAATATAGAAAAAAAAAAAAAAGAAACATGCCCTTACAACTTGGCCTTGAGGCTTTATTATTTAACTTTAAAAAAAAAGGTAGTTTACTGAAAATTACTTGATAGTTGCTTAAAAAAAGAAAAGTTTTACTGTATACAGAAAATCACTTGATCTGATCCAGCAGATATTGTCATGTTTAGAGGTCTTATTTAACATGGAAAAGTGTAAAAAAAAATTTGTGTGCAAAATTACCATGATAAACAAAGCCCTATATTTGGCAGAATATATTTGCACTTTAAAAACAGGCGTAATGACAGCAATTCATCAAACATTTACTCAGCGGAAATACTACTGAGAAATAAATGATTTTGGCAGGATGATAAACTCAGTTGTGAGAGAGATTTGTAGATAATCAGACAAAACGGGCGAAAATTGCATGAATAATTTGTCGACGCGAGAGCGAGACAACCGCACTGTTACACAGCGTGCTCCAGGGGTTGGAGCGTCGTCGTCTGCCGAGACGTGGCTGAATTTGACTAATGCCTCTCTCGCTGTGAACAATAGAGACGAATGTTACTTTAAATCCGAAATACTTAAATCCAGCTTTCGATGACTCCAGGCAAATATCATTAATCACGCTAGGCCCACCTCGCACAGCACGCGCGTGCACGACCAGATGATGGCTTTCCCCGACTCAATCCATCACGTATGTGTCGTGAGCGCGGCCCCTCGTACCGGCTGAGAGCCTCCACGTAGGGGCCCCGCTAAGTGAAAGAGTTACAACAGCTGTACCTGGCGCTGGTCGGTGCTCTCAGAGCGGCCCGGCTCCCTACTTAGAATGTCATCCGGCTCGTTTTAAAAGAGCGTCACGCCACGGAGCTCCTCATTTGATGTATCGTTCCTCATCTTTACAATTTTGGGAATAACAGGTCTAACTTATCAATTTGGCACCTGAAATCCCACCGCTTACAGTTTTAGCACATCATGTGTGGGGGTGATGTCATCCTGTGACAGCACTTCCTCTTCTCATTACGGGACATTTTTAGACAGGCCAATAAAAATGAGAAAGGAGGCCATTTTAGAATATCCCATTTGCCTGAAAGTGAATCAAGTTATCTCCATTATTTCAGGACTAAGGTGTGCGGTGACAACGGCGACGTGGAAGAAGGAGATTTCCGCCACTGTCAGAAAGTAAAGGCCACTCTGAGTCCACCACCACAGGGATTGGCCACGGCGCAAATGCGCTAACATAAACCTCATAATCGTTCTTAATGTCTAAACATAAATGTTTACTGCAGACGGCATTGTGGTGTTTTGGCAGAAAACGTGCCCATTGCGAAGACAACATGGGGGTAAAAAAGGAGGAAAATGCTATTGCTATTTGTGAGTAATATTTAATTAATGACTTTCATAAATAATGAATAGAGCGGATGTAATTGCAGATGTTTTTATGATGACAGGCTTGGCTTCACTGGGCTTTTTTTTCTCCTCCCTCTTTTCAATTACCGTCCAGAACAGGGGGAGGCAGAGAGGAGAAATGGAGTGAAAGAGAGAGAGAGAGGAGAGAGAGAGAGAGAGAGAGAGAGAGTGCAAGGAAGAGAAGACGCGAGAGAGAGAGAGAGAGTGCAAGGAAGAGAAGACGCGAGAGAGAGAGAGAGAGAGAGAGAGAGAGAGAGAGAGAGAGAGAGAGAGAGAGAGAGAGAGAGAGAGAGAGAGAGAGAGAGAGAGAGAGAGAGAGAGAGAGAGAGAGAGAGAGAGAGAGAGAGAGGCTGGTGGAGGCAGAATTAAAGAGGCTTTTTGTCGCGTTTAATATCAATTCATTCCATGGACTGCTGACACAGGCAGTCCAGAGAGCCCAGGATTTATGGCTCCCTCTAATGGGCATGCTCAGAATCAAAGGCCTGTCGTCAGCACTACTTAAACCACTCCTCTCTCACTCCGGCCCTCTCCTCTCTACTCCACGTTTAAAGACACAAGCTCATTTACAGCCCTGTAGTAGCAATTCACAACTAGTTTGGTTCAGGACCCAAATTTTAATTTGGACATCAAGTGGTCTCCCAACATGGCACCAAAATGTAAAATAAGCAATTTATAGTTATTTCTCTTATCTTGCATCGTGCACTATCAAGGATAACGGTATGTCATGCAACCTGCCCACACTGGCATCTGTCTAATTTGGCGAGCTTCAATAGTGACAGATGACACCGTAGAGTTTGATATCAACAACTGGATATGGGAATCGACTCCTCACTTTTAAAAGTTTATAAGCCTTTTGAGTTTTAATTTTGCTATCCTTACAAATCATTTAATCAATTAATTTTTTTGCATTTAGCATTGTTTTATTCCCGCAGTTGAGAACCACTACTGTGAAGGACACACACACACACACCAGAGGTGTAACTGCATCAGTCATTTCAGTCTTAAGGCAGCTTTGCACTACTCAGGAAAAAAGGAAGGTAAGATCAGGAAGGTTTCTGCTTTCATGCATAACGTAAATAAAGTGGGTCTTATTCACCAACTGAACATACAAACATATTTGTTGGTAAAACTTGTATGCAGACATTTTCAAGCAGAAATCATGATGTATGAATAAGTTGACACTTTCTAAATTTAGAATATCAGAAACAACTGAGGGCATTCAGACAAACCACATAAGCATTCATAATATATCTACTTTACATCAGACTCAGACTTCCTTTATTGTTCCCAGAGGAGAAATTAAGGTGTTACAGCAGCAACAGAAAGAACAAGACAAAACAAAAGTAAACAATCACAATAACTCAAAAATACAGAGTGCCATGCAATGACCTGATTGGCATAGTAAACTCAAAACCACCTCCACTCACACACACATTCAAACACTCACTCACTGCCACTCTTACACTGCATCATACCTTAACCATCAAACATCTCATGTCCTTAGTCCAAGCCAAAAATTCCAAAATGCAGGCCTATTTATATTCATAATTATACACACACACAAATGTATATATGCATAACTATATTATATAAAAACTTAAAAAGCTATACACACACACTCTCACATATGAATGTATGTTATATATAATGTAAAACAAGCTTCATATTTTCATCGAATGTGATGGAAAATCTTTGTATGTCTGTACACGTTATATGCAAATATTAATGATTGAGACCTAATCTTTATCTGAACCAGGTTTCTAGTAATGTAACTGATCCACAGAGGAAACACCCCAGACAGACGGAAAACAACGATGACATTGAGACATACAGCGGATAAGGATGATATAGGAGCGAGAGAAAAAGCCTGTAAATGTAAATTGTGCAAAAAATATGAAATCCACCCCATGAATTGAAGAGTCAGATTCAATTTCAATCTAACCTTTGCTTACAGCACCATTTACTCTTGAAAACACATAACTCAAAACCAGGTTGATCATGCGCCTATATATTGAGGGGTCACAAGTGGCATTCAGGTTCTTTTGGTGCCCTAGGCGAAAGGGGAAAAAAATATACAAAAAAAATCTTTTCAACAAGATGTGTTAGTCTAGTAGTACAGCTTTTGTTCAGTATGAAAAGGGAAGGAAAAGAGGAAGCTTTGACATTTTGTCCTACGAGTTTGGAGCGACAAGAGAGTGAGTCAATTATGCCATCATATTCTGTTTAAATTTCAGTTTTTTTTATCATCAAATATTTATCCAAAGGACTTTCAATAATAGTTGGCTGCCTATACAGTAGAAAGGTGATCTTTTTTTTTTTAAATCAGTGCTACCTGACTAGAGAAAACTTTTCCAATAGGATAGATAGGAAAAATTAAACACCCAAAATGCACGGGCATGTTGCCGTCTATGGCCACTCTCACCAGTCCCCTAGTATATGCTTGCCAGAGTCAAATATCACCTTGCTTTAGTAGGAAATACTTCTTAGCAAACTTTTAGGTATAATGATATAACGATATATTAGATATAATGATATATTAGGTATAACTTATATTGTTCAGGGGTGCAAGAATTCAAAGAGTAAACATTTAGCGGGAGTGAGTTACTTTCAGTTTCTAGTGAATGATCCAGCGAGTTGTAATGGCTAAAGGCTGCAAAGAATTGTAAATACGGACAGAACGCAGTGACAGACAATCTAAAAAAAAAAAAAAAAAAAACTCCATGTTTGTAGTAAACATTTCAAACTCGATGACTATGAACACAGTGTTTTAGGTCAAATGGAGGGGAAAAACTGAAAGAAACTACCGTTCTGTCAGTTCCGCCCACCCTACCGAAGCAAAATGCTGTCGTGTAGGCCTACAGGTAAGAAATCTGTTGCAAAAGTGTTCCATTTTTACCAAAATGCTGTTTAAAGAGTAGACATAGTACGGTACAATTTTCAGTGATAAACCTACCCTTACAATAACTGTTCTGTTAATAACCCTCTGACGATCTGACTGTCCGGGGGTGGGGATACAAAAATGCAGAAGTGTAATCTGTAGTTTTCACAAGTTGTCAAAAGTCTTCTGCTGACAAATAAATGTGAATTTCTCAGATAACACAGAGAACGTGTAAACATTGTCTATTTACATATAGCTATTACCGACATTGTAACAAAAAAAAAAAGCGGGTTGAAAATCGGCGAAGCTACATTTGAACTTTTTTACATTTAACATTTACATTTAAAAATTAGACGGGGCATGTGCCACTTTAAATGGGCATGATTTATTCTACACACACACACACGCACACACATCTTCATCTACCCATCCAAACAACATATCTGGTCCATGACCTCCACAAACACACTCACCTGCCCAGCTAGGGGTCTCCATGTACAGCTGTGTCTGAGCTTGTGGGGTCTCACTGCAACCACAGAAGTGTCCGATTCCTGCGGGAGAGAGAAAAAGTGACAAGTTTTGAGCAAGAATGTAAGCCACAGAAATTACAAACAAACAAAAAACATTTAATTCCTCAAAAAGTGGTATTGTAAATTTCCTTTGAATTGAGTAGAAAGCCCGTCTACCATTACAAAGAGGGTGAGCTCCCAATTTACATTACAGATTGCTCTGAAAATCCTTGTTTTAGTGAATATGTTTGGACTTTAATTGTTTTTTTTTTGTTTGTTTGTTTTTTCATTTTGCATGCCCTTGTTATGATAATTTGCAAGGGGATTGAGGAACTGTCAGAGGACCTGCAGGGTTTAGATAAACTCAGAGCCCCACCAGAACCACCAAATCCTCTGCATGTTCTGCAACCGCGCTTAATGCTACGCTGGTGCTGAAGTGGATCTGCCGTAACATTTGGAGCACACACACACCAGCTCGTGTGCTACCTCACATATGGATAAATAAAGCAAAAAATGCACTCGTTGGATACATACACATGGAAGCTGCAAACACACAAGGCATACATTAACAACAAACCCCCTCACTCCCAGTTAACCCTTTCCAATTGAAAACAACTCAGTCTGATAGTTGGATAAGAACGATAATCGTTCTGTTGGTCTGACCCGGTGAGAAAATGGGCCTGATGTCACGGTTAATTTAAAATCGACTGAACTAAGGCAGGTTTGGCTGTGTGTACGTGATAGCAGGTGGCTTCAAATCACATTCTTATTTAGAGAAACATTCTGGTGAGTAAGAAATCACTTCACCCAGAGTGCGTGAGGGAGGAAGCAGCAGAAGAAAAAAGAAACAGGGAAAGATGATAATGCTGCAACTTTTCTTTGGACAGAAATATATACAACCCAACAAACACTGGACCCCATGAGAGTGAATGCAGCACTCGGAACAAAAGACCCTGTTAGAGCATTACCGTAATTACACGGCCATAATGGTCTCTATTGCAGGCTATTCAGATTAAATATGCATAGTGCCCCGTCCACATCCACGGGGCTTGATAAAAGTGTTGTTCCTATGTGTCATTTAATTGTTAGCATTAATCTGAAATATAGAGCTAATGTGCTTATTGAAAAACAGCACTCTGCCATGCTGGTACTGAATGTATTTCTGTCCTACCTGCACATCATTCTTTATCAACTCACTCACAAGTCATTTTTTTTTCTGGTACCTCTGCTTGACTCTGTTTCCCATCACACTTTCTTTTTATCTTAGGGGAAAGTTTGCCCAAAAGTGACATTTTGTATGACTTCAGTGGAACTCAAAAGAATAAAAAAAAATAAAAAAAAATAGAGTCTTCTGTATAGTCTTCCGAAGCCACAAGTGTGAGAAACAAATTGGTCGTTAATCACTTAATTTTACAATTGGTTTTCATTAAACTGATCTTGAAAACTGATTTGTGAAAGAATCAATCAGGGTTTTTTTGTGAACCAAACAGTTCATTTGAAAAGATCTGACTCAAAAGAATGATTCATTCACAATCCAGATGGATGAATGAATCTCTACTTATCTCATAAATATGCCAAGAAGAGCTAGAGCTAAATAGTGATCTCTTTCTCACAGAAAAAGCTATTGTATGATTTCGGAAGACTAGCAGAAAAAGGTATATGGCCAATTGTATGGTGCTTTTTGCATTGTTTTTGGAGGATTGTATTTGATGTAATTGCATGCAAAAGAAAACAATGCATAGAGTTCCTTCTTTTGCACAGGAGAAGGAAAGACATAAGGTTTGATTTCATTTTTGGATAAACAATTCCTTTAAAAAAAACATTAACCTTCTTTTTTTCCCCTTCTCCCAAAGTCCATTCTCTCTCTGTGTCTGTCTATCTGAGAGGGGCTGTAGTTCTCTGCGGGGAAGTGTCTAATTTCATTCCGAGTGTTCCCCTCTGTGGTCAAGAGTAGAACTGAAACCCGGAGATGCAGGAAGTCTTCTGGGAAATCCAGGCCACTACCAACTCGGTGAGAATTCATTTCTGAGGAATTTCGCTTCGCTTGCCTGAAAACAGGCTCACGGGGTGGCAATGGAAAACAGAGGTCTCGCATATTGGTGTCCATCCACCGAACTCAACGTGTACGTACACAAATGCTACATTCCAAAAAATAGAAAGCTGCCAACGGAGGCAGCATTTTAAGGCCAAGGCTGTTTCAAAATGTATAGGAAACATGATACCTCTTTGGATCAAAATACTAAGACAACATCACATATATAGGCTTACTTTGTAGAAAAGACAATCCCAATATGTAACGCAACAAACTCAATACTGCAACTATCCATCCACTTTGTTTAACAGTTGAACTAAGAGTGAACCAAACCAAGTAGCCACAAGGTGAATCACAATAGTACACACTTTGATGAATAAAAAAAAAGAAAAGAAAAAAGACTAAAGTACAAAATGATGTATCCTACTTAATGTCCTAAATGAGGTAAAGAACTATAAATCACATGAAGCTTTGCACATGACAGTCCGATTTAAAGCGATGGACAAATATAAAACTATTGATTGATGTTGATGAAAATTATATACTGTATATAGCTCAGAGAGTATGTCGGCCTTTAAAGTTTCTAAGTTATCATACAAAATTTCCTATTGAGAAAATAATAATAATGGGATATTTATTTCCAGAACCCAACTGTTGCACTCTGTTAAGCTATTATGCTAATACCAACATACCAAAATCATATTCTATTAGTCAATTGTGTGAGGAAGCAGAGCTACTCATTCTCTTATGAGGTTCAGTGAAGGTTAGGATACTACCTTAGAAGACAGCTCCCTGTGTAGGCAGTCTACTAGGTTTTCCTCTCCTTTACAAATTTCCACAAATTTACTCAATTTTAATTACTTATATCAGTCCCGCTTCAAACTAATTTTTTAAGGATTGAGGATGATAAATTTAGCTCATTTACAAGTGCAACCAGTGTCTAAAGCATTAGTGTTTGTTGATTTGTAAGTGCATCAATGTCCATTGTGGCCTGACACTCAATCTTTTGAGCAGGTATTGATGGATCGCAAAGGATCTCACGCAATAACACAGACGCCAACACACACACCTGAACAAAGCATGTGTATTGATTTAATCCAAAACAGAGCTCATATCTCACAGCTCCCTGTCTCCCTCCCACACTCTCTCTCTCTCTCTCTCTCTCTCTCTCTCTCTCTCTCTCTCTCTCTCTCTCTCTCTCTCTCTCTCTCTCTCTCTCTCTCTCTCTCTCTCTCTCTCTCTGTAATGAATTACCAGGCACTGGCTCCAGTATTTTTGGGAACAAGGCCAACATAATTTGTTATTTCATCATAAGTAATTAAAAGCTGTTTCTTTTCCTGTTGTGTCGAAGCTGATTAATTATTTGGACGGTAAAAAGGCATAAATAACACAGAACTGAAGACTGCCATGGAAAAAACAATAAAACAACCATCACTCGGACTACATTGATGTCGCAAGCAAAAAGAAAATAGCATCTCACTAAAGCCTATTTGCCCAGCTATTTAGTTTGGTACATGGCAATAAATAAACTGTCGGCTGCTGTATGATGAGAACAGTGCAATAAAAAATGTTATATCTCAACAATGAAAGCTCTGCTGCATGTAAGCAGATGAAAACAAGGAGTCCGACAGGTGTAATGCCATGTAATGTGCATTGGTGTATTTAAGACAACATTTGGTTACATAATGTCATTTAAGTACGATTGTGATATTGCAAACATTATTTCCCCCCATGCCCTTAGATAGGGCACTATTTGAGGGGACATCCATTTGTAGTGGTGTCCGAAACCAAAGTGGACGTTATCAAGTGCACTCATTCAATCTCACAATGCACTGCAATAACGAGTGTACAAGCGATGTACGCTCAACCGTTATACCCATAATGCACTGTGAGAGTCGCCTGCCAAATGAATTCATGCATCTGACCAGAAGATGGCGACCGCAGCTGAATCATCCACCCATCCATTGTCCAAACTGCTGGTTCAATGTGGGTAGTTTCCATGACAAAGTTTAAGATAGATCTTTTCATCTTCAAACTAATTCAAAAGAATATGCTCACCCGTTCACTCCTTCAAGAGAACTATTAGTGGACTAATGTAGGGAATAGTGAATGAGGTATAGGGGGTGATTTTTTAAAACTCGCTTGAATGTATGATTCAATGATTCATCACGATTGAATGAAGCAGTATTTTGAACATATCGGTTGAAAAGAGTCACTTGTCGCCACCTACTGGTGTCACCAGACATTGCACCTTTACTGGAAGTTCCGGAAGTCTCCCGCTTATTGATAGCGGCTCCCTGACACCCGCAAAGTATACAATATCCCAGAAATCAAGCGAGCGAGAAAGCCTGGTATTAAGATGCGTTTTCCGTGAACTGATCACAAGTGGTCAGTCAAGATGCATTACCATTACACCTTGTATTATCACACATTTCAAATGCGTCTCCAGTGACCACTTGCATTCGGATTTTGAGGAGAGCATCTTATTCCGTCACAACTCAACTACATCACTTTTCTTTTCAGTGCACGAATACCATTGAATGAACAAACCCGTGTTAGGCGGCTTATGTGAATGAATATAATATAATGTAGTAGAGTGGGATGTCTGTGTCATTGAAAATGTGTCACTAATGCACAGCTCAAATCCAATGACCAGAACTAACCGTTGCATTATAGAAAACACAAAACATAGAAACCAGTAGCATAAAACCTTAAGATTCTGCCTAACACTAAATGGATGACATTTTTTCCAGTGACCACATACTATTGGAAAAATAAAAGGGGTAATGTATTTGCTTGTTAGCATGGTTCATGAGCAAAGATGGCAGATTTCAAATTGTTTGCTTCCAGGTTTTCATGTGCCTGCAAAGCAAGTGGCATTAAGATGAATGGGAATGCTAATGGATAGATTTCTCCAGATATTATAGATTTCCTTGGCGAGAATACTAGAAACTGCAAATGACGTCAATGGAACAAAACCTAATAAAAAGGCAAATAAGAGCAAAAATGC